TATTAAAATTATTTTGAAAAAAATTGAATTGTTGCAAAGAATTGCAATAAAATTTTTGAAAATAATTTAATTCTTTGAAGAAATTCAATTAAAAATTTTTTTTTTAAATAATACTTAAATTCTAACAAATAAATATTGTAGCAAAGATTTAAAAAAAATTAAATTTCTTTGATGAATTTTAATGAAATTTTTAAGAATAATTACATTTTTTGAGGAATTTCATTAAAATTGTATTAAAAATAATTAAAAGTCTGCGATGAGTTTTATTTATTTATGAAAATAATTGAATTTCAAAAAAGAATTTTATTATTTATGAAAACAATTGAATTCTTTTGGAAAATTTTAATAAAGTAGTAGATATATTAAAAATCATTGAACTTTGAGAAGTTTTTGAAAATAATTGAAATTTTGACCACAATTTTATTAAAATTTTTGAAAATAATTGAATTTCGAAGAAAATTTTATTATTTATAAAGATTATTGAAACTTTGACTAGAATTTTTGTAAATTTTTTAAAACAATTGAATTTCAACGAAGAATTTTATTAAAATTATTTTGAAAAAAATTGAATTGTTACAAAGAATTACACTAAAAGTTTTGATAACAATTTAATTCCTTGAATTCAATTAAAAATGTTTTAAAAATAACACTTAAATTCTAATAAATAAATTGTAGCAAAGGTTTTTCAAATAATTTAATTTCTTTGATGAATTTTAATAAAATTTTAAAGGATAATTACATTTTTCGAGGAATTTCATTAAAATTGTATTAAAAATAATTGAAAATCTGCGATGAGTTTTATTTATTTATGAAAATAATTGAATTTCGAAAAAGAATTTTATTATTTATGAAAATAATTAAATCTTTGTAAAAAAATGTTATTATTTATAAAAATAATTTGTAAATAATTGAATTCCTGTTAAATTTTTATTATTTATGAAAACAATTAAATGTTTGTGTAGAATTTTATTAAAATTTTTGTTTTAAATAATAATTGATTTCTTTTGGAAAATTTTTATTAAACGCTGTATAAAGAAAGGTAAGAATTTAGTACCAATTTTGGTATACTAAATCGTAATTTGTTTTAATTTTAATCCCGAAATCAGCTTTAATTTAGAAACTTTTTTTTAACAGTGAAGTATATATATATATATTAATATATATATTAAAAATCATTGAATTGAGGAAAGTTTTTGAAATTTTGCCAAGAATTTTATTAAAATTTTTGAAAATAATTGAATTTCTAAGAAGAATTTTACTACTTTTGAAAATAGTCGAATTTTTGTAATGTAATTACTTCAAAATTATTAAAAAGAATTATTAAAATTTTTCAAAAATCTACGTTCTTTACTATTTCTAATGAAATTCATTCAAAATTGAAATTTTGCAAAATTCCAAATTAAAACCTTTTGAAGTTCATGCGAAAATTGTAAACGCAACTCTTTTAAAATTGAATTAATTTTGAAATGTTTAAGTAAAATTATAGATTTCAAGAATAAACACATAATAACTTTAGAAAACAACAATTTTCCAGGATTTCAATCAAATTTCCCCGACTTTTCCAGGTTTTTTAAGGTTTATAAAATTCCCTGAAATTTCCAGGTTTTTCAGGTTTCCAGGTTGCGTGATGACAACCCTGAAAATCTATATATATACTTTTTGAAACAACTCTTTCATCACTTTCACTGATTTTCCATAGTAAGTGACACAAATATCTATTTTTGCATTGAAATTGAAGTTTTAACATTTTTTTAATTCGATCGTAAGGAACACAATAATGGAAAATGGACCCTCTCTTAAATAATATCCTCTTTACAGGCTACCGCAATGTCTATGTCAACCACTTGCTGCTAGGTTGTCGGTTGTCGTATAACTCAAGAGGTGCTTTCATGATGTTGATTGCACTTCTGTGCGCAGCTATACGGTTATATGGCTACAACAATAATTGAATACATCAACGAGTTACCGCATTGTCATGTCTTTCTTACCCTGAATTATATGCGCAGGCCGCACTTTTTTTCTCCCTTCTGACTCTCCACTTAAGAACGCGCACGTGAACATGTATATAATTTTGTTGTAAAACGTATATATACGCGCACAAAAACGTATACACCGCACAAAACAATATACAATTTCACATAATGAAATTACAGTAAACGAAATTTTTTTTCATTATATACGAAATGTGTTTCACGGTGAAAATTCTAGGTTACATTTTTGTTTGCATTAAAGATTTATTTTTCATTATTTCACATTAAAAACACTTTTTCAAATACTTTTTCACTGAAAGACTCTATGTGTTTTAAAAAGTATTCTAAATTCAATTATTTTCAATATCTATACTATTTTCATAAAATTTCGCAAAAAAATTAATTATTTAAAAAAAAAATTGATAAAATTCATCCACAATTCAATTATTTTCATAAATAATAAAATTTCCACGTGAATTCAATTAATTTAGAATAGAAATTCAATTATTTAAAAAAAACATTTTTTTAATAAAATTCTAATCAATAATTCAATTAATTTTATAAATAATAAAACTCATAGAAGAATTTTCATTATTTACTATTTTAAATTAATTAATAGAAAAATTCAATTATTTTCAAAAATAACAAAATTTTTCACAGAAATTCAATTCTTTTTAAACATTTTAATAAAATTTTTCGCAGTAATTCAATAATTTTTGAAAATTTTAATAAAATTCTTAGCAAAAATTCAATTATTTTCATAAATAATGAAATTGATCGGAGAATTTCAATTATTTTTAATACAAATTTATAGGAATTGCTCAAAAACTTAAAGTAATTATATTCTTAAAAATTTAATTTCAATTCCTCGAAAAAATCAATTATTTAAAAAAAATGTTTTTTTTTTAATTCTTTGGTAGAATTCAATTATTTACAGAAATATTAGAATTTTTCATAGGGATTCAATTATTTTTAATTATATTTAAAAAAAGTTGTTCGAAAGAAATCAATTATTTCAAATACAATTTCAATTAAATTTTTTTGAAATAATTCAATTATTCTTTTAGATTTTAATAAAATTCTTCCGAAGAATTCAACTATTTACAGGTAAATAATTCTTTAAAAGAATTTAATTATATCGATAAATAACAAAATTTTTTACCAATAATACATAATAGTGCATCAATAGTATTATTTTTAATAAATATTAATTCATTATTTTTTTCACATGGAAATAAACATTTTCAAAAAATTGAAATTATTATATAATATTATAATTATTATTATAATTATTAGAGAACAAAAGTTCAGAAACAGAAATAAAATAATAAACAGAATAAATGCATAGATTAGTTAAAAAATTTCGACAATAACTTCTTTACTATTTTATTATTATAAATTATTATTATATTTGAACCTATTATATGAATATTGTTACTATAACTTCTTTAAAATTATTTTTAGAATTTCATTTCAATTTTTCGAAATTTCAATTATTTGGAAATTCTTCAATTTAATATATATTAGAAAATAAAAAATTCAAATAAGTTCAAAAGGATTGGAGTTAAAATATTTTTAAAAAATTTCTTCTACAGAATTATTACCTAATTGAAAGTTTAAAAAATTTAGGTTTCAAAAATTTCAATTTTAAACCATTTCAAGAATTCAATTATTTCCAAAGAATTGAAATTATTTGTAACTCCTCCGAAATTCAATTATTTTTTAGAGTTTTTAACTTAAATTTCTCTCTAAATCAATTATTTTTAATAATTAAATAATTAATAGTTAAATATACGCGTTAAAATATTCAATTAATTTCAAAAGAATTGAAATTAAAATTTTTAAAAGAAATTAGTTTAACAGAATTCAAATAAGTATTAATTTAAATAAGTATTAAAAGTTCAAATTTTGAAAGATTTCAATGTGAAACTTTTACGAAAATTCAATTATTTCTTAACAATAAGTATTTGTAACTCCTCCAAAATTAAATTATTTTTTAGAATTGTTAACTTAAAATAATTTTCTAAATCAATTACTTTTAATAATTAAATAAATATTTTAAAAAATTCAACTACTTTCAAAAGAATTTGAATTAAAATTTTTCGAAAGACTAGGATTTTCGAAATTTCTATCTAAATTTATTCAAATTTGCTAAAATTTTAAATTTAAATCTTTTAAAATTGAATTATTTTTGAAATTTTTAAGTTAAATTATTCACTAAATAATTTTTTAAGTAACAATGGTTTGATAACTCTTCAATAATTAAATTATTTGAAATAAATGTTTGTCAAAAATAAAAACAATTTAAGTTTTTTATTATTCTCTAAATTTTGAATTAGTTAAATTAAAAATAACTAATTTGATAGCAAAAAGTCAGTCACTGATTCAAATACTAATTAATATTTCACTAATGAGGTATAGTTGATAATAACTAATTATAAATTAAATTCACTTTTAAGTTTTGTAAAAATAACATAAATTTTTGGTAATTAATTCAGTTAGTAAAATTTTGCTATATATATTTATTTACTAACAATTAGTAATTGTCTACTAATATTTAATTCTTTTTTTACTAATTTATGAAGCAAAAATTCAGCCATGGTTTTACTAATTAAAGATTATTTTTAACTGCGATTTAGATTTAGACTTTTAGAGAGTAAAATTCTTGGTAGTTTCAAAGTTTTAAGGCAAATCCCTTGACTTGTAGCAACCCTGTTTTAATTTCATTGTAAGATATATTTTGAACAAAGCAACTTTTACTGTAAAAATAGTAAAAATTGCCAAAAATGGGCAAAAGTTTCTGTCAGTGTAACTTTTACTTTGAAAATAGTAAAAGTTGCCTGGTTCCTTTTCCCCGTGCAGCAATAAATAAGACATAAATAAGTAATACAGAAATAAATAATGCAGAAATAAATAATAAAAAAATAAACATAATTGATAAGAAATTTGCAATAAAAAGGATACAAATTCTTTTTATAAAAAAAAAAGAAACATGTATAAACGAATAAATTCTTTTATAATGCCTCTCACGTAAGGAGATACGACTCCATGCAGCGACAGTAGCATTTATGGCCGTTGCCATCGTGAATATTTATGCGTCGACCATCATTGTCTACATAATAGTGGGACTGGCAAAAGGGAGGAATATAAGATGAAAAAGAAAAAGAACTGGACCCAATCCCCGTAGGCCAACCAAGACAGAAAATATAATAATGGCCAGTTGATATACCATATACCTCTCTCACCTTTTTTTCAAACTTGAACCAAAGTGATACGCCCATAATTTGGTCGAAGAAAACGAAACAAAAAAAAAAAAGAAAAAAAAATGAAAAAGGAATGATACCCTTGAATGTGGCATCTTGATGTGCTGTTAAAAAACCAAGATCCTAAATCACATTTGACTTTGGTAATGGGATTTCTCTAGTTGAGAGAGAGAGAATACACTCTCATCCTCTTCTCATCGACTTCCTCTGAGAAATAAAAAGCTCTATTCGATAGTAAATTTACCTCTATCTCAAATGCCTATCTTTCTCTTCTCTCTGCATGATTTTTTTTAGAACGAATACTCTTTAACCCACAAAAAAAAATACCTGACTCAATCTATTCTTTCTACTTTTCAAATTTAATCATTTTTTATTTTATTTTCTATAAGCGTGGAGTTATTTTTCCCAAGGATACTATGGCTTCAAAACAATTAATTTCGTTTACGTTTTCATTTGCACAATTTAGAGAAACACTTATCGAAAAATGTGGTCTATACGAAACCATATTTATAATTTCTTTAAATAAATGCGCGAATATAAATTTTATCAGGGACCCTTACGTAAGTTTAGTTTCTTTGTCTCACCAAGAAACTAAATTAAAAATTAAATAAATATTTAAATAAATAATATTATTATTAGAGGTGTGCAAAAAGCTCGAATAGCATGGTCGAGCTCGAGCCGGGCTCGAGTTTTAGTTACTCAAAAATATTTGAGTGCTCGAAAAATTCAAGTGCTCAAAATTATTTTAGGTTTAATACTGCACGTGTCGGATGGAATTTGGTTCAAGTTCGGATTGATTCTGCTCAGCTCTGCTAGAAAAACGAAAAGCTTGAAATACTCGATCGAGCTTTTTGCACAACTCTAATAAAAAATTTAATTTATTGCAAAATATAAACTGAATTTAGTTTCGTGTCAACTAAAAACTAAATTAATAAATTGACTTTAGTTTCGTGTCGACTTGAAACGAAACTAAAAAAATTGAATTTATTTTAGTGCAGATCGAAAATAAGTGTCTGAGAAACTAAAATATTTAGTTTCGATTGAAAAATCACGCAGCAAAACACAAAATATTTAAATAAATAATATTATTTTCGGACTTTACTTTCAAGTCAACACCAAACTAAACTAATTTGATTAATTTAGTTTTGGGACGACACGAAACTAAATTGAACGTAAATTTTTAATTTAGTTTCGCTTCAGAATCGGTCTCTGAATTTTATATGAACTTTTGGTATCTAATTTATTCAATTTGGTATCCATATTTGGTATCACTTTGAGTCAATTTGGTACTAGTTTGACTCAATTTGGTATTAGTTTGATTCAATATACCAATTTGATTCAATTCGATTTTATTTGATCCAAATTTCTACTTTCTATTTCGTAAAGATTTAATTAAATTTGGTATCAATTTGATGTAAGTTTGATTAAATTCAGTAATAGTTGGATTCAATTTGGTATCAGTTTGGTACAACTTGATTTCAATTTGGTGTCAATTAGATTAAATTAATTTCATTTGATTAACATTTTTTCTATTTATTTGGTACCAATTGAATTCAATTTGATATGAAGTTGGTACCAGTTTGACTCAATTTCGTATTAGATTGACTCAATTTGATTCAGTTTGATTTTATTTGATCTAAATTTTTACTTTATATTTCGTAAGGATTTAATTAAATTTGGTACAAGTTTAATTAAATTTGGTAACAGTTTGATACAACTTGATATCAATTTGATTGAATTTGCTATCAATTAGATTAAATTTATTTTCATTTGGTCAAAATTTTTACTATCTATTTGGCAACAATTTAATTCAATTTGGTATGAAGTTAGTATCACTTTGAGTCAATTTGGTATCAGTATGATTCAACTTGATTCTATTTCGTATCAATTTAATTAATCTAGTTTCATTTGATCAAAATTTTTACTTTCTGCTTGGTACCTGATTTAATTGAATTTGGTATCAATTTGGTAAATTTAATTAAATTGATGCCAAATTAAATCGAAATAGTACCAATTTGATTCAGTTTGATTTCATTTGATCCAAATTTTTACTTTCTATTTGGTAAAAATTTAATTAAATTTGGTATCAGTTTGGTACAACTTGATATCAATTTGATTCAATTTGGTATCAATTTAATTAATCCAGTTTCACTTCATCAACATTTTTACTATCTACTTGGTACCGATTGAATTTAATTTGGCATCAATTTGGTAAATTTAATCAAATTGATGCCAAATTAAATCGTACTGGTACCAATTTGATTCAGTTTGACTTTATTTGATCCAAATTTTTACTTTCTATTTGGTAAAGATTTAATTAAAATTGGTGACAGTTTGATTAAAAACAGTAACAGTTTGATTAAATTTGGTACAAGTTTAATTAAATTTGGTACCAGTTTGATACAACTTGATATCAATTTGATTGAATTTGGTATCAATTAGATTAAATTTAGTTTCATTTGATCAAAATTTTTACTATCTATTTGGTACCAATTATTTAATTCAAGTTTTTATGAAATTGGTACCAGTTTGACTAAATTTAGTATTAGATTGACTTAATTTGGTAACAGTTTGATTCCATTTGGTATCAATTTAATTGAATTTGGTATCAATTAAATTAAATTTAGTTTCATTTAATCCAAATTTTTACTATCTATTTGGTACCAATTTAATTCAAGGTTTTATGAAGTTCGTATCAGTTTGATTCAATTTGGTATTAAATTGATTCAATTTAGTACCAGTTTGATTTAATTTGGTATTAATTTGGTGTTTCATTTAATCCAGATATTTACTCTCTATTTGGTAAAGATTATTTAATCAAATTTGGTATTAATTTAGTATCAGTTTGATTAAATTGAGTAACAGTTTGATTCAATTTGGTACCAGTTTGATACACCTTGATATAAATTGATTCAATTTGGTGTTAATTAGATTAAATTTAGTTTCATTTAATAAAAATTTTTACTATGTATTTGGTACCAATTAAATTCAATTTGTTATGAAGTTGGTACCAGTTTGACTGAATTTGGTATTAGATTGACTCAATTTGGTACCAGTTTGATTCCATTTGGTACCAATTGAATTCAATTTGGTATGAAGTTGGTGTCAGTTTGATTCAATTTGGTACCAGTTTGATTAAATTTGGTACCAGTTTGATACAACTTAATATCAATTTGATTTAATTTGGTATCAATTAGATTAAATTTAGTTTTATTTGATCCAAATTTATACTATCTATTTGGTACCAATTTAATTCAAGTTTTTATAAAGTTGGTATCAGTTTGATTTAATTTTTTTATCTTTAAAATGAGAAATACTATATTCTTTAAAAAAAAAAAAAATTGCTGTATACCCAAACTCATAAAACAAACGCAAACACGTCTCTTTTATGGAAGATAATATATTTAAATCTTAATTTGATGAAATATGTGTCTCATCGAGTTGAAATAATGACGATTCTTTAGATGTAAGATTTGTGTGTGTTATTGTGCACACACAACAATTAAGTGACTAACATTTATGCCTTTCATAATTGCCTTCGTTAAACGAAGAGAGTGACCGAGGAATTAACTTGGTGGTAATAACTATGCGGCTATTTATTAACACGTGAAACCAGTCGCTCCCCACACGAGAGTCATTGAATCTTTTAACTTCTACTTTTTAACAAATATAAAACATTATTCCAATATATTGATTACAAATTTTATTTTACTGAATTTAAAGGAAATGTGATTTGTATATTAAATATTTTCTATTTATTTTATTCTAATTCTATATTCTGTAAATATTTTTAAAACAACCAAAAATTTGGTTAAACAACCAAATAAAAACACTGCTATAAAATTAACCAAACATTATGATTCAACCAAAAATTTGCTTCAGATGATTAAATTCTTTCTTCGAACGCAAAATTTTTTAAACTGTACCAAATTATTTAAATCAAATAAATATTTTTTTAGATTGAACAAATTTTTTTTACAGAAGTTAAAAATTGAATAATAATAATAATAATTCTACAACAAAATAAAATATTTGATTTAAATAACAATTTTTTTCTGTGAGTATACACTACAAATTTTTTTCAATTCAATTTTTCACTTTTATAATTTTGCAATTATAACGAATAGCAGATTTTTGGGAATGATATATATCAGAGATATTATAGTCGTACCAAAAGCATAGATATATTTCTTTAATTTTTTTTTTTTATTATTTGCAGCAAAACCGCGCAATGAAACCAAGACGCAATAAATTCCGGTGGTTTGCGAGCATGTTGGTCGAATGAGAAAAGAGATGGTCCTATGTCAGTGGCTGCACAAACAGAGTCTGTCTGGTCAACTGTATACAATAATAATTGTTTTTATGGCCCTCCTACAACCTCGAACTCGAAGGGTGTCCAAAAAGAGAAATCTCGCGTTCTTCTTCTTTGCTTCTTCTATTTTTTTTACTTCATATATTATATATATATATATATATATATATGTATTCACTTGTATTCTCTAAATGTTTTCAATATTATTCTGAGAAAAAATTCCAAACTCATCTTTTAAAAAGAAAAAAAAATGACCCACTTGTTCGATTTCTCTATTCCTCACAATTTTACGAATTATTAGAAAAGTATAAATTTTTTAAGAGCAGGTTTAAAAAAATAGTTTAAAAATTTTTTTAAATGTTTAAAAATGATGTCGGAAAAAAAACTTTTATTGAAGGTTTAAATAAAATAAGATTAAAGGTTTGCACCAAAGATAAATAGACATAATAATAAATAAATGATTAATTTGTAAATTATTTTTTGCCATAAATTATGAATCACGAATTA